TGTTTGGGGGGGGGGGGGTCAATAAAGTTGTAGCAAGTCTTAGTTGTGAAAAAATCTTTTATTATTAGTGACCATATAGGAATATCACTTGCTAATCCCTTTGAACGAATTCTAACTTTAGAAATATTTTCTTTGATGTCATTTGGGATATTAATAGTTAATTTAGTAAAATCCCATTTTTGTCACTATAGATATCCCTAATTTTTAGGGAATAATCACTTATTGAGAGAGGGCCTTCCACAGTATTTCTAAAGCTTCTTATATTGAGAATCCAATTAGTATGACATATGTTCATATTAGTATTATAGTGGGGTGACCATGTAATACCTTTTGAACATAATTTTCACTCCTTTAAGATGCTTTTCCAAATGAAGGAGTGTTTGTATTTAGCAGTAATTGTCACACCTCCTTTTTACCACCCCAAGGGGAGTATAAGAGAGTTTTTTCACTTTAAGTGACATTATTCAAAATGGAATTATTTGTTCATTTTTATTCAGAGTCGCCACTTGGGATAGTTTATTTGGTGTCACAAGTCACCGATTTATTTATACTAAATCGAGAAAATTCGACTTTCCTTTTGAAGTCTACGAACCAGAAATTCTGAATAAGGAATTTTGTTAACCCGGGAGAAGGTGTTAGACATTCTCGGGTTCCGTGGTTCTAGCACGGTAGCTTAAACTATTACAATTGACCTATTATCTGATTTTAATACATGTTTTAACCTATGATATATTTTAACTTATTAACCGCTTTTAATTATTTTAGGAAAAGATTCAACGTTATTTAAAACACGCCTTGAACCATGCCACATGAAATGTACCCGCGGTCCAAGCCACATTTTATTTAACGTTGTTGAGAATTGGAGTTGGGTCACATGAAATGCACAACCGAGTTTAAGGAAATTAATTTAAATAACGCGCCTAAAGCAACTACGCACTTTCAAGTTTGCGAGGGCCATGAAAAATTCAACTAATGACACACCTCGATTTATAAAGAGTTAAAATAACTAATGAAGGGCCATGGATTATAAATTTTTTTTGGCTTGACACGCCTCAATTTATTTTAAAAGATTTGTAGTCAGCTAAAGCAATATATGGTTGTTCGAACTTAAAACTATCTCGAAATTCAATATAAAGCTACAAACAATAAAAATTCTTTTAATTATTTTTTATTTAATAAAAAGATAGTGGATATTAGTCAAAAGTAGATATAAATAGAAACCAAATCCCATTCAGACTATTAACTTAATCTGTGAATGTTTGAACATAAAGCTACGAAATAAAAAAAATATTCAACTTGAAGTTTGACCTCAAACTTAAATCATTAAAAAGAAAAGAAAATTAAAACTATAACACATACAATATGATGAAGCCTCATTAGAACGGCACTCATACAAAATGAACATCAAACAAAGTTATAAACACTTAGTAGAACTTAATCAAAAATAAATAAATACAAAATAGACAAAAAAAAAGTGAATCAAAAGAAACGCAGCCAAGACATAAAGTGAATGTGTTCAGGCTAGAAAATCAACAATAACCAACTTCTGGGCACTCAAACAGAACAACCTATACATATGATTAGAAATGGAAAATTAACAAGAAACGGAACACCTACTCAATTAGATGTGATTAGAAATAGAAAATTTACCAATATCAGTTAAAAAAAATCAACTCCAAAAAATGTAATTACCTGAAAACTTTGAAGCCTTTCATATATTAAGATCTTGCAATTGGTTACAAGAATAATGTGACACTATAGCCAAACACGAACAGACCGTAAGCCGAAGACTAAGACGGAAATCTCGAACCGGCGAACCCGAAACAAACTCGAACCAGGACTGAAGCGCTCAAGTAGGTTTCATGGCTGTGATAGATGAAGAAGAAGGAGCAGTGGCGATGGAGATCTGTGTGTGTGCGTGATTTTCAGGCTGTTTCAGGCGAGTTGCAGAAGGAGAAGAAAAGATCAGCAGTGACGGCTCAACATGGAGATTGATGGAGGTGAAAGAGTGACGTCGTTTTTCTTTGGTCGTCTGCTTAGCTCCTAGGTCTCTCGTGTATTCATGAAGAAGAAGATGGAGTTCAAGGTGTCGTGTCCGGCGTTAGGCTGCTGGAAGCAGTTGTTGGAATAAAAAAGGAAAATGGAATGAAGGGGTCGTTTGGTATGGTGTTGAAGACGATGTGATCTTCAGGCGTTCTTTTTTTTTTTTTTGTGTTTTTCAGTTCATCTTTTTTCTCTAGGAAGAAGATGAGAAAAATGGCTCCAGCTCTGTATTTTTTATGTTCTTTCTTAATCTCAGAATTTTTGTTTCTTATTTTCTCCTCCCCGGCCCCTCTCTAAATTGTGTCCCTCTCTATACGATAGAATAGAATATATATCCAGAAAAAGAAAAGTCCCCCCTCCCCAGAAACGTTATCACATGAGAACAAAAAGGAATTCTTGTGCATGTGAGGATGGGTCCCACAATAAAGGTGATTTCAAAATCTATTATGCCACGTGCTAGTTTGTTAAGGATGATAGAGAGGAATCTTTGACAAATGACAATTTTTGATTGATTCATTTTTTTTCGTAGAATTTTGTTTATAACAAATAAATAAAAATAAAATCTACTCCTATTAAATAAAAAATAGCAAGATAAAATTACTATACACTCAATTTTTATTTGTTGAAAGTATCTTTATTAATTTTATTTTTTTAAAAAAAAAATTGCACTAGACTAAATAAAACTATATTTTTTTTGGAAACTTTTCTTTTTCTGTAAAATGAAAATAAACTAATACTCTAGACATATGTAACTTTTATTTTTGTAATTTTCATTTTCTTGTAGTAAAATAAATTAAAAGAGTCAAAATTAGTTGAAATAACTATATTAGGCCTAAATTAAATATTTATGTGCTAAAATATGAAAAATCTTGGGGAGGGTCAAAAATCACATGTCTACAGCTGCCCCTCTTTGACTGGAAACGCAAAGAGTTTTCAGAAAAAGAACGACTAGACAGAATTTTTGACCCGACCCTTATTTAAGAAAACCGAAAGCTAAAAGAAAGGAAAATATGACTGAGCCCTGGTATCTGAGCTACCTACATATCCTTGGTTATAAAGGAATCAGGCCACGTGTAATTCAGAAGTAAAAACAGTGATGGAGTATACTGAGGTGGAGAGTCGGTCGAGGTATCGTTCCGCGGTCCCGTTATTACATCAAAACCAAAAATGAAAAAGACTAACTAGGCCTATCAGCTACGAGTTAAAAGATTTCTATCTATGAGTCTTCTGAAGCTTGATCTTGAGTCTTGGTTGGTTTTTTATGCGGACCCTGATCTGAATCTTGATGCTTGTTAGCCGCAGGTGTTGGTTCAATCTTCTTCAGCTTTTCAAACCAAGACGAGACATGCAGAGCTTGTGACCTCAGCCCCGTCTTGAGCAGCTCACATCTTTCATTAACTTCTTATCTTTCTTTTTGTTGTTATTTTTTTTCTTTTTATTCTGGATTGTAAAAAACTTCTATTGATCATCTCGGACTGCTGACTCGCATTCTTGACGCGAGCTTCTTTTGTTGCTGACCTGAATTGCATTCTGAAATAACTTCCATTGTTCTCTAGGTGAGCGTCTGATTGCTAAAACTTGAACTGACTTTCATTGAAACTTGAACTGTTTTCCCTTGAAACTCGAACTGTTTTCCCTTGAAGCTTGAACTGTCTTCCTTCAAAACTGTTTTCCCTTGAAACTTGAACTGTCTTTCCTTTGAAACTTACACTGCTTTTCCTCGAAACTTGAACTGTTTTCCTTCGTTTTCCAGTGGGCGCCTGATTCTACAACAAAACAGACAAAACAAAAGAAATTTTTCTGCCCCAGTTTGTACTAGGAAGATTTGTGAGTTGTTAGAAAAACTATAAATCACTTACGCTGCTGATGGAGGATGCAATAATGAGAGTAAAATTAATGACTCGACTAGGACATGTGCCTCCTATGCGTAATTGAACTTGCGGAAAACTATAAACTAAGCTTGACTAAAGTAAAGACTAACCCTATTCTCCAGACGGGACCCCTAATTTCAAGAAAACTAAAAATTGACCTTTTTTTCAAATCCAGACTTCCCTTCTTCTTTTTTTGAATTCAGACTTCCCTTTTTAAATTATTATCCTAAGAGAAAATTCATCGGACTAGGTTTTCTATCTTAGGAAAAAAATTTATTAGACTAAGATTTCGATCCTAGGAGAAAAGTTCATCAGACTAGGTCTCTTTTTCAGTATCTTAGGAGAAAGATTCATCAGACTAAGATTTCTTTCCTAGGAGAAAGTTCATCAGACTAGGTCTTCTATCTTAGGAGAAAGATTCATCAGACTAAGATTTTGATCCTAGGAGAAAATTTATCAGACTAGGTCCTCTATCTTAGGAGAAAAATTCACCAGACTAAGATTGTGATCCTAGGAGAAAGTTCATCAGACTAGGTCCTCTATCTTAGGAGAAAAATTCGTCAGACTAAGATTTTGATCCTAGGAGAAAGTTCATCGGACTAGGTTCCCTTTTTTCTTATCTTAGGAGAAAGATTCATCAGACTAAGATTTATATCCTAGGAGAAAGATTCATCAGACTAGGTTTTCTTATCTTAGGAGAAAGATTCATCAGACTAAGACGTTTTTCCTATGAGAAAATTCATCAGACTAGGTTTTCTATCTTAGGAGAAAGATTCATCAGACTAAGACGTTTTTCCTATGAGAAAATTCATCAGACTAGGTTTTCTATCTTAGGAGAAAGATTCATCAGACTAAGATTTTTATTGGGAGGAAAATCCATCAAACTAGGACTTTTTATCCTAGGAGGAAAAATGTGAAAATCAATGGCAAGATTTTATGCACAATAGCAAGACAAATAAAGGCAAAGATTTGAGAAACTTCCCTTTTTCGGATCTTCACTTCTTTTCTTTTTCTTCTCTTTTTTTGTTTGTTTGTTTTTTCTTTTTTTCTTTTTAACCACTTTCCTTGCACTGCTTTGTTCCTGTTTCACACAAAGAAAAATTTGTCAGTTTTGAAAATGGTGGTCGGTTTGTGGCCTTGAGTCTTGGGCAGTTTGACTTCTGCTCAATCAGCTTGAGTCGGTTTCAAGAGACTTTTTCTCTACATCAACCCTAATTGTTTCTCACCCAGTACCATTTGTATTTATGGATCAATCAACCTTATCCCAACTAGAGATCTTTTCTTAGGTGACATTTTCTGATATCTTGAATGACTTCCTGCTTTTGAGCAGTTTGTTTGTTAGAGAGAATCACCAGTTATCTTTGTTTGCGCCAAGTAGGCTGACAACAATCTTTTGGGGGAGCCTTTGCATGAATCTTCAAGGCACGTTGATGGTAACAACTGAGTGTGCTGGCAAAATTTACTTTGTGCAACTGAAAAGCTGGTAGCAGATTTTGAAATCTTATCTTGCTTGTTTTGACAAGGACTGACTCAGAGTGAAGGGCGCAATGATGCAAAGAAACAAGTATTAACCAGAAATGCCCCAGTCGGAAGGACAGAAGAAAGAATTTTTTTTTCTTTTTTTTTTCAATAACTAGCCTTAATGATCATGACATGCATTTTGGACTTAACAACCGATCTATCAAACTGACCAAATCTTCCCTTTTACCATTCTTATGATCTTTGAAGTTGAGCCTATCTGTGCCAATCCTTTCCATCAGCTTCACGACTCACTTTCGACTAATGGTGCCCCGAGGAATTTTCAACAACAAGCCTCTCTCATTTATTCATCTCTACTTATCCTCGCCTTACAGTGCCCGTGAGGGTTTTCACTAATAAGACTCTCTCATTTTCTTTTTTTTTTCTTTTTCTTTCGCTTTTCTGTTGCTTTCTTGAGCAACTTGACAGTGTTCTATGTCATGTGACAACCGTTGCTCATTGCATGCTTCTCTTGGCATTCTTGAAGGCATATCGGGAGGTCTTTATTTGGAAGGTTTTTGGATAGGGTTGGACGAAAGGTCGACATGAGGCTCAAAACAGACTAAAGATGACAGAGTTGTATACTTACAACTTTTAGAATCGATTCTTTTAAAACTGAAATAAAATCTTTGCCCCAGTTTCAGCTATTGTGGGGATTGTTTTTTGAATTTTTTTCTTTTAAATTCTTATTTGGTTGGACCGAACCGTGAGGCTGCCTACGTATCCCTTTTTAAAGGAATCAGGTCGAACGTAGTTCAAACATCTGACCTAACTAATTTTTTTTATTTTTCTTTCTGTTTCTCTTTTCCTTTTTTTTATTTTTTTCTCTTTTTTTCTTTTATTTTTTTTATTTTTTTTTGGTTTGCCCCAGCTTCTATTTTTGAGGGCATGGATCTTTGACAATTCTTTATTTTTTTTCTAAACTTTTTAAGAATTGCCCCAATTTTTACTTTTGGGACATGGATTTTTTTTCGTTTCCTTTTTTTTGACTCTAAACTTGATTCCAAAAGAGGGTAGTCAAAGAAAAATAACACAGGCTCAAAAGGGGTAGCAAAGGATATAAAGTGTTTGGGTATCAGAAAAAGGGCCTCCCAACCTCAAGAACGCCAAACATGGTATCTTTTTGCGATCACATC